GGAAATAACATTTCATACCTCAAATGAGGAGCAAATGTAAAGCACCTAAAGAGTCCTGGAACAGAGTAGGTACTATTAAAGGTTTATCATTATCATTATTATTACTATTATTATTATTACTTTTATTTTAATCACTGTGATTATTGTGGTGTTGATGATGATGATGATGATGATGAATTCAATTTTGCAGATGAGAAACAGGTTCAGAGAGCTGAAGTAACTTGCTTAACGCTACACAGCTAGTAAACCTGAAAAGCATCTAGGAGAGTGTGTGCCACAGTAGCAGGTGCCCAATTGTATTTGCTTTCTTCCTTCTTGATTTAAAACTCAACACTTTTCGAGGGCACCTGGGTGGCTCAGTCAGGTAAGCATCTGAATTTGGCTTGGGTCATGATCTCAAGGCTTGTGGGTTCGAGCCCTGCATTGGACTCTCTGCTCTCAGCACCGAGCCCACTTTGGATCCTCTGTCTCCCTCCCTCTCTGCCCCTACCCTGCTTGCTCGCTCTCTCTCTCTCTCTCTCTCTCAAAAATAAACATTTTTACCAAACTCAACACTTTTTTGAGAATTTTATTCCTTAAAAATAATGAGTCAGGCTCGACTCAGCTAGGTTAACGCAAAATGCTACTACCAGTCACATAAATTCATGCAAATTAACATTTTCTTTTACTCATCTACCGATGCAATACATGGAATAAGACAACAAAGTAGATACCAGAACTCACAAAAAAGATAACAACTGGGTCCACAGTTTTGCCTAATGTGGAGTAGTTCATTTCTCCCCCAAAGAGGTATGTATTTTCTTCCCTCCCAGGTGTCTCCATAGTGGGTCAGTGGCAGATTAAGATCCCAAGTTTCCAGACCTTCACCTCCTGGAGCTTTATACTTGAGTTTATAGAAGTCAGCACACCAAAGGACAGTGCTAGCTAAAAATGTAAATAGGTTGACAATGTGTTTATGTAAGTTCACAGATGATAGATTCCGGTTTTCGTCCTTGGCCTTTCTCTAGTCTCACTCTACATGTTCTCCGTGGGTAATATCATCCATCCCCAGGCATCTCCTACTGTAAGATACCAATGGATGCAAATATACGTATATCAACATTCCAGATCTTTCCTGAACTCTAGACATGCAGTTCCAACTGCCTGATAGCAAAATCCACCTGGATGCCACCCAAGCATCTTAAACTTAACATGTCTCAAAAGAAACTCATTCTCTTCCCTTCCAAACCCACCTCTCCTCCTGTTTTCCTTCTCTTGGTAAATGGATCATCATCCTCCCAGTTTCCCAAACTAGAAATCCAGGCATCCTTGACTCTTATCTCTTTCCACCTCAGCAAGTAATCACTTACCAACTCCTATCAATTCCTCCACATTGATATCTCTGGACTCTGTTTCTTTACCTCTTCCGATACAGCCAAAGTTTATACCTTCATTGCCATTCTTAGCCTGCCATTCAGTAGCTTTATAGATTGTCTGCCTGCATCCAATTTTTCCCAACTGCAATCAATCTCCTACACTGCTGCTTACACATCTACAATTCTCCTCTACACTTCCCATCCTAGAAATTATATTCCTCATGAAATTCTCCATCACTTAAAAGCTGTGGTTTTTTATGCATGAGGGGAAAAAAAAGGAACTCCAAAATTGGGCATGCAATACTTTTTGTGATCTGGCTCCAATGTACCTTACTCTTAGCCACACTGAAGTTTTCACCATCCCAGGCCTTTTCACGGCTTTATGCTTTTGCACCTGCTAATCTACCCTCTTGGAATGCCCTTTTCCAAGTCAGAATTTGTTCAAATTTTAAGACCTAGATCAAATATCACCTTTCTATGGACCCTGATACCCTGTGTATTTCCATACCACTTTATCTATAAAAGTACTTATTGCATTTAATTGCAATGATCCGTTTGATCTCTCTCTTCTCTACCACATTATGCATTTTCTACAGGCAGAAACCATGGTGGTTGACTCCATCCCTAGCACTGCCTCAAGGCCTGACATGTAGCAAGTGCTAAGTAAAAGCTTATTGAGTACAGGTTATTGAAAAAAGTTAGGATGGCATCATAGAAGACCAATTTCCATATTCCCCAAATTCATTTTGGTCACAAAGCACAGAGACAAAATCTGAGGCTGGCTAGGCTCTTTATACTGACTCAGTACAAAACTGCTCATATTTTTAGAACAAACTGTCACTAGAAGTGCATTCTTATTTCAACTCACAACATGTTAGTCAAGCACTCCACACTTCAATCCCACAGCCCACAACTCACAATTTTAAGTTCATATTCTATAAACACAGCCTTAAAGAAAAAAAATTTAATGGGAACTACACGTTTCTTAAAGCATGAAAGACCCAAAAAAAGTTAGGCAGAAAAGTAAAATTGTTTTATAACAAATTTACAGTCGTCATTAGCAGACCAAATAGGAAAGATTAAAATGAATTATTTGAAAAGACAGATACAAAACTTTTACCAGTTATGGTAACAGCTAAAAAATGTGTAATATCGTTAATACCATAAACATTTAAGGCATGTTTAAATGCTAGTATGAATATATAAAATCTTTGGCTCAGTTTAAAATTTCTGTAATGTAAGATTCTAATACTAATTAGAATACAGTAATTTTCATTTCTACTGACTGCATTTTACATGGCCTGGGATGATGCCTGAGAATCTGCACTTCTAACATGTTCATGGGTGATGCCGCTGCTGCTCATCTAGGCTCCATGCTTTGACAACCACTGATCTAGAGAACCAAAATTTTTTTTTGTCATCTCATCAATGACCTACTCTTTTAAAAAAAATAAGGAACCTGTGCCAATGTCAATATTTAAAAAGCAGTTTTCAACGCATGATAAGTTACTTACGTTTTGGTTGATGGCAACTTATTCCTTAAATAAAAAATTACAGAGCACATAATATATGTAAAGCACCATAGAAAAATAGAGACCAGTAAAAAACTCATGATCCTCATCTTCACTGACTATACAGTCTAGGAATGTACATACAAAAGTAATAAAAGTCAGCAATCGGTACAAAGGGGATGACAGTGCAAACAAGGCTCTGTGGCAAAGACGCTGGAAGGCTCGGCCTTGAAGATAGTTGAGTAATTAAGTTACAGGAGGTAGCGGAGAAGGGCATTGCAAGGGAAAGAGAACAAGGCAAAAGGACTGAAAGGGGATGAGGTGGGATCCAAGGAGATCATTTAGGCAACAAAAAAACAGTCTAGATAAGACAAAATGAGAGCAGTGATAATGATAATAGAAAGAGGAAGATGGATTTGAGACATGTAGAAGTTAAATCTGCTGGAAGAGGCAACAGATTAGGTAGGATTAGGTATGGAAAGTGTATGGGGATAGCTGGAGAGAATGGAAGCATCGCTAACAAATGCTGTGGTGGAAAGAAAAGGAGCGGGATTGAGAATGTTAAGATGGCTGTGTCAGTCGCTTTAGATACATTGATTTAGAGCTGCCAGTGGGAGTGTCCATTCATTTGAAAATGTTAAGCAGGTAACTGAAAATGTAGGGCTTGAGTTTGGGGAAAATGATAGAACTGAAGATAAATATTTGGAAGACACCCAACTAGATGTGATCTGTGAGGCTCTCTGAGTAAAAGATTTCAAAGGGATGAAGCAGTGGTCCTCAAACTTGAGTCTGCATCAGAATCCCCAGGAGGGCTTCTTAAACCACAGATTGCTGGGTCCCACACTCAGGGTTTCTGAATCCTAAATCTAGGGTGGAATGTGAGAATTTGCATTGCTAACAAGTCCTGTGGGAGGTGCTGCTGTTGTTGCTTCAGGGTCCCTCAGTTTAGAGCCACGGATCTAGATAATCAAACCTATTTTTTTTCATTTCAACATTGATGTATTCTTTTAAGAAAATACTAACCTGTGCTAACATCAGTGTCTTTTCTTCTGTGTAGTTAAAAGAGTATCTAATATTGTTTCGCTGTCAATTTAAAAGAAATAAGGAAACTATTTCTATCTATCTGTTTTCTATTTATTAAAAAGTGTCTTGTTGGGGCGCCTGGGTGGCTCAGTCAGTTGAGCATCTGACTTCAGTTCAGGTCATGATCTCCCGGAACGTGAGTTTGAGCCCCGCATCAGGCTCACTGCAGTCCGCACAGAAGCTGTCAGCACAGAGCTTGCCTGGATCCTCTGACCCACTCTCTCTCTCTGCTCCTCTCCCTGCTTGCTCTCTCTCTCTCTCTCTCTCTCTCTCTCTCAAATATAAACATTTTTTAAAAACCAGTCTTGTCAATCCGTAATTAAGAAACCAAGGCTGTCCAAAGGATCTGTTCCACATTATGGCAATGGTCAGAAGGGAAGTTCTTACTTTCCCTTAGGACTATGTTGCACAAAGTTTTGCATTCTGACGACAAATTTTCAGGACCTTTGTTTGGTGGTCTCCGATAAAGTTCTTTTAGAAGCCAAATATTTATGGGGAGACTGGGTGGCTCAGTCGGTTAAGATAACAACTTCAGCTCAGGTCATGATGTCACAATTTGTGAGTTCAAGCCCTGCGTTGAGCTCTGCGTTGAGCTCTGCGTGGGGCTCTGTGCTGACAGCTCAGATTAGGTGTCTCCCTCTCTCTCTGCTCCTCCCCTGCTCGCACTCTGTCTCCCTCTGTCTCCCAAAATGAATAAATGTTTAAAAAAAAAAAAGAAGCAATGGCTTGAAAAGCACTTAGTTGTTTACTTTTCATCTTACTATAAATTATTTATCCTTCAGTCTGTAAATGGCTATTTGTAGGATTAGACAAATTTTGAATGCCCTGATAAGAGGATTGTTGCATCTAAATTCATGCATAATCCGTAAAAAGCACATGTAACCTACAACCTTAGCCAGATTGGCATATGAACAAATTCACTAAGCATATGTAAGCAGTGCGCATTATTAACCAGTTAACATCAGCAAATTTGTTTTTGAAAACATAAGTTTACACACACAAGCATTCCCTAGTGAGAAATATTAGTTCTAAAAATCCAGTAAAAACATACCTTGAGTAGATTTCTCTACTTCCTTCCTCTTCCTACTCTGGCTATTGTAATTCATCCTCAGCTCTTGGTTATACTCATGCAGAGTTTCCCTGGAGTTGTAGGACTGCCTTGGTTTCCTTCCATCTTCACTTTCATCAGAAGAACTGGTATAAGCTAGATCCATTTCGTGCTTGACTTTTGAGAGAGGCTGGTAGGGTTTGCAGTCCGTTTGCTCCATGTCTGATTAAGCAAACTCAATTTCATGAAAAGAAGGAAGAACAACTTCTTTCAAGTAAGCAGTCCTGAAAAAGAAGGAAAAACACAAGCCTTCTTAGATTTGTCCTTTGGAGAGGAAATGCATCTGGCAGATTCACAATTGGTTCTGATAATACTATCAAAGGAGTGAAGCAAAAGACAAACTAGATGACAAGAAGCTAGCCTGAGGCAATAATAACACTCTGTGTTACATGCGCACATTGGCAAGCACTTAGGATTAAACCGGAGGTTGCGGTATCAGAAAATACTCGAGGTGGAAGAGAGACAGCCTTCAAAAATATTTGTATTGGAATGCAGATAAAGGACAATGTCTTCTAAGGTGTGTGTGTGTTTTAAATGTTAATTCAGTGGTTAGATTAAAAAATATTCTGAGATCCGAAAGTGGCTAGGAGTACAAATACTAACCCAGCATATCCCACATTTGAAATGAAAACTGGTAAGGGAACTACATTCAGGAAAAAAAAAAAAAAAGACAAAAAAAAAAAACCCCGCAATCTCACCTCTGATTTAAAACTGCATTTAAGAAAGCGGTTTTGAAGAAGGGAAGAATTCTGAGCGAGAGAGGCTCATGAAATTAAGTGTCCTTGAGGGGGACTGAGCTCTTTGTGTCCATATTGTGTCTTTTGAGCCTCAGGCTTGCAGAGAATTTTTAATGAGTTAGGTGGCGGTAAATTTTTGTTCTTCATAGTACCGAGAGGATGTAAACAACACTTCTGGTGAGTATACTGGTATAGGAACAGCAAGCTCTAAATCGGGTTTAGAAATAGAAATTTTAAAACTTCATGATAAATCACTGAAAGAACCCCCCTTCCCCCACAGAATGCTGAGCTACAAGTCACTAAGGCTCTTAGGGCAAGTAGAGGCATTATCTGTCTTACTTAGCGCAGAGAGGTTTGAGAACATCAAATGCCATCTGAGATGTCAAAGTCCTCTGAAAATTTTAAAGCCCTGTAAAAATGTACTCATCTTCATCTCTTACATTAATTTATCATTATTTTCATCAAACGCTGCAACTTTGCAACTTGGTGGGGTTTTTTTGTGTGTGTGCAATGTTAAAAAACCTACTTCAAACAGAAATAACTTTATGATTTCATTTGCAGTAAAATGGACTCCTTTATTTTTCTTAAGCTCTTCACCATATGCATTTTCAAGGAAATCTACAAACATCTAGATAGTGGTTCCTAAATCATGTGCGGTATCTCGCTTTTTGCAATTCCTGTTATATGTATAGCAAACGCACAGAATACAGAAATCGCTCAATAAAATGTATGGATTGACTATTACGCATTCAACGGTACCTAATGTTTTGTAGTATGAACAAAGTTTCATGAATCAAAGTGCTATTTCCCTAATCAAACGTTAAGGATCTTGAAGGCAGAATTGGAGTCTTATGCTTCCCTGCATCCCCTATACCACTTAGCACTACTCTAGGCACACACAAAGTAGAAACTATTTAACTCCTAACCTACAAATTCCATAAATGGTCTATAGAGATGGCTATTTTGGTCTGAATTAATATCAGAAATGAAGATACTTGGAGAGAAAGCAAATCAAGTATTGTAAGTAAATATCTATTGATAATCAACAATAGTCTAATCTCATGCCATCTCATGAGACATACTGCCTATACACTCCCCAACTTAGAGCTCCAGCACAATCTCTCCCCTGAGCCACAGACTTGAATATCCAGCTGGCCACCCAATATCTCTACCTGGATATCTAAAAGGCATCTCGAACTTAGTATGTTCAAATCTGAGCTCATGATTCCCACCACTTCCCAACCTTGCTCCTCTCACGGTCTTTCCCATCTTGGTAAATGGTGGATTCCATTCCTCTGTTGGCTCAGGCCACAGACCTCGATCCCTGTCATTCACATCCCACGTGCAATTCACCAGTAAATTCTTCTGGTGCTACCTTTGAAATATACCCAGAATCCAATGACATCTCTCCACTTCCCCACTACCACCACATTGGTTCCAGCCATCATCCCCCACCTGGACCACTGCAATAGCCTAATTGATGTGCTGCTTTTAACATTGCTCTCTTTATAGCACGTTCCCTACACTATAGCCAGAATGAAGATTTTAAAATCTAAGTCATGTCAATGTCTCTCCTTTGCTCAGAAGCAGCAATAGCATCTTCTATCCTTCAAAATAAAAGCCAAAGTCCTTACAATGACCAACAAGGCCCCTACAAGGTTCACTTCTCCCTACCCTAACCTCTCTAAACTCATCCCCTGATATTTCCACCCACCTCATGCACTCTAGATGCACCAGCCTTCTTGAAGTGTCTGAAAATAACAGGCATGTTTCCACCTCAGGGCCTTTGCAGCCTCCCATAGTAAACCACCAAAAAAACACACAAATGTCACTTCTCATCCTCCTTCCTGTGTTTCATAGCACTTATCACCAAGTGACATATATATATATATATTGCTTATTTGCTTACTGTCTGTCATCTGTGTCTCTCTACTAAAATATAAGCCCCATGAAGTATTTTTATCTGTTTTATTCACTGCTACATCCTCCAAATAAGCACGATGTCTGGCATATAGTAGACTCTTGATCAATACTTGTTGAATGAATTGAATACATCATTGCCCAGAATTCACAAGAAGGGCTAGAGAGAATGTGGAAATGAATAGGCCATAGTCTGTGCCCCCAAGGAATTCACAGTCTAATGCAAGTGATAAACAGCTCTACTACAGAGCAGATTAAAGGACTCCTAAAGAAAGACAAAGTAGTGTTTGAGCACCAAAGATAAAGATATTGGGAAAGACTGTACTTGATTTAGCTTATTTGTTCATCGCCAACACCCTCACCACAACCACCAAAATTCTACTGAGCATCTATGTGATAAGGCCAATTTGAATCTCTTTCTTCTTAGGTTCCCATAGCACGTGTGCTTCATAAACCCGGCTGGATTTTAGACCCTGACTTTGCTACAAACAGTGCAAAGTGAGAAACATATCAACAGTAGACTTCCAGAAATGCACCTTTGCAGCAGAGAATGGGACTTCCACCCAAAAAAGGAGCCATCAATAAAATTAATCTAATTTCATTTCAGCCAACACATATAGTTTTGCGTTCATTAAAGGATGAAAGTTTACCCAATAAGTGTGGAGAGCTATTTTCCACATAAAGACATTGATAATGCAAAAACATCCATCAAGACGCTTATAATTAAAAATAACTTAATAAGATGCTTTCCATTATAATATACAGATATACATTTTATTTTCTCTCCCATCTCCCACTTGCTTTCTCAGTCAAGTTTGGTTTATTCTGATTGGTATTAACATAGCAGAGGTATGGTCAAAATAGCACTCCTGCCTAAGTCTCAGCTGGTTATGAATTTATACTTATCTTAACACCATTCAAACCTAACAAGTTAAATTTGAAAATGAAAAACATCTCACTTCTAATGCCTAATGTTGTGTTCTGGCAACTATTATTTATAATGTTAAAATCACCCTTATTTTTATGCATGGGAATCCAGACATTCTCTTTTCCCTCAGTATGTTGTTTATTTTGCAACATGTGAACTCTTGAGTGAGTGAATGAGTGAGAGAGAAAGAGAGAAATATTCCTATAGCTATTTTGAACCATTCTTGAAGTTCTAATCACAGCTATGAATCAGCTAGGAATGTCACATCGATTCAAGGTTATTGAGGGTCCTCGGAAGCAATCTTCCTTTAAACCACAAATTGGTATAAACCAAGAGAAAGTAATCCTTCTCTGCTCCCTGACCCCCAATCACAACTTCTTGTCTGTTTTTAATGTTCATTTGTTTATTTTGAGAGAGACAGAGACAGAGAGAGAGAATGCACGTGTGCACGAGTGGGGGAGGGGCAGAGAAAGGGAGAGCAAGAATCCCAAGCAGGCTCCATACTGTAAGCAAGGAGCCAAACTCAGAGGCTGGATACCTCGAACTGTAAGATCTTGACCTGAGCTGAAATCAAGAGTCACATACTTAACCGACTGAGATACAGGTGCCCCCACAACTTCTTATCTTAACATTTGGGTGTGTGGACCAGGTAGCAGAAGATACATTCAGCTCTCTTTAGGCACCTGATAAGGAGACGCACAACTCTGTGTGCCTAGGGCCGTGAGAGTATGTAACCGTGACATTTACCAAAATCCTGTGAGGCAGAGCTTGACTTCACTCACAAACGGTTTACTTTTTGAAAATAAAAAAAAGTAGGAAAATAGTAAGTAAGACAGTAACAGAAGTTTAAAACATTAAACCTAACAAAGTTTGAAAGCACAATAATTCTCAAAAGATGCTGTTTCCAATACTCCAAGGTAAAAGACACGTTCATATTTGCTTAATTGACTTTTTCATTCAGTGCCCAACATGGCATCCTGGAGGTCCACTGACGAGCATGTGTTATTTATTTAGACATGATGAAGACAGTGTCAACTCACAGAAAAACCAGAAGTATACATAATGCTATTCGCAGCAAAGCAGTTTTTCTTATTTCTCTATTATTTTTTAAAAAAGGAATTGTGGGGGCGCCCGGGTAGCTCAGTCAGTTAAGTGCCCGCCTTCAGCTTGGGTCATGATCTCCTGGTTCATGAGTTCGAGGCCCCCATCAGTCTCCCTGCTGTCAGAGCAGAGCCTGCTTCAAATCCTCTGTAAACCCCTCTCTGTGTACCTCCCCAACTTGTGCTCTCTCTTTCCCAAAAATAAAATAAACATTGAAAAAAGAAAAAATCGGGGCGCCTGGGTGGCTCAGTCGGTTAAGCAGCCGACTTAGGCTCAGGTCATAATCTCGCAGTCTGTGAGTTCGAGCCCCGCGTTGGGCTCTGTGCTGACCACTCAGAGCCCCGAGCCTGTTTCAGATTCTGTGTCTCCCTCTCTCTCTGACCCTCCCCTGTTCATGCTCTGTCTCTCTCTGTCTCAAAAATAAATAAACGTTAAAAAAAAAAAAGAAAAAAAGAAAAAAGAAAAAATCAAAAT